TGACACTCTCCATCCATCTTGTCCTCTGTCGTCCCCTTCTCCTCTTTCCTTCACACTTTCCCAACATCAGGATCTTTTCCAAGGAGTCTTCTCTTCTCATAAGATGGCCAAAGTATTGAAGCCTCAGCTTCAGGATCTGTCCTTCCAGTGAGCACTCTGGGTTGATTTCTTTCAAAATGGATGGGTTTGATTTCCTGCCAATCCAGGAGACTCTCAAGAGTCTCCTCCAGCACCACAATTCAAAAGCATCAATTCTTTGGTGGTCAGCCTTCTTTATGGTCCAGCTCTCACTTCCATACATCACTGTTGGAAAAACCATAGCTTTGACTATGCGGACCTTTGTTGGCAAGGTGAGGTCTCTGCTTTTTAAGATGTTGGCTAGGTCTGTCATCGCTTTCCTCCCAAGAAGTAGGCGTCTTTTAATTTCGTGGCTGCTGTCACCATTTGAAGTGATCATGGAGCCCAAGAAAGTAAAATCTGTCAATGCCTCTATCCCCTTCTGTTTGCCAGGAGGTGATGGGACCAGTGGCCATGATCTTAGTTTTTTTGATGTTGAGCTTCAGACCATTTTTTGCGCTCTCCTCTTTCACCCTCATTAAGAGGTTCCTTAAGTCTCCCAATTTTTTGCCATCTGCATCTTTTACCTCAGTCTAATTAACCACAGAAAGCAAAATTGAGGCTTTCCTGTACTCTCAGCATATAGTGTTCAGCACTAAAAGGTTTTATACCAATTTAATGGTCAATTTCTGTTGCACAAGCCATTTCTTTCTTGAACAATGGAGACAAATTACAGTACAGTGTTATTCCAATCCATAAACAGATATTTTTACTCTGTTCGCATCTAGTGCTTGGGATATCTGACTCATTTGTAGTACATATAATCATCTACTATCTTCTGGATTTCTTATTTAATTTGCAGAGTTCCAAGAACATTTTTTTCTAAGATGAGTTAAGAGAGAAAAATGTCCTGTGACATTTGAATTGATTCCTCAGTCCTGCCAATTTCTCGCATTGCCAAGCATGACAACACAGTTGTTTCTTTTCAGATGACAAGATGCTGCTAATGTCAGTCTCACCCCAGTGCCTTCAGCAAATGTCCCTAGGACTTGATTTAGTTCTCACATGTAGTAGTGAGACACCTGTTCAGTATGGCTTTCGAAACAGTTCTCTTCTGTATTTGTTTGTAGTCCTTGCAGGTATTAAAATATTTGAAAATTACAGACTGGTAAGAATTTGGCTTTGGTGTGGTTTAGATAATAATTTAGCAAATGATTGCAAATTTCCTCATATTTCAGATGGAGCGAACTTGGAATTTAAAAGACTAAATTTTCATTTAGGTAAAGTTAGTCTTTTAAATTTGAGAGATGTACCAAGTTTGCAAATATTTTCAGATTCAAAATGGAAAGCATATGGGTTTTTTAAAAATTCAAAATGTGGAGCAAAGAGAAATTGAGACATTTTCCTATCCTTTTTGAGAATAAACTTTCTCAGGGTTGAATTAAACTCAACTGTGATCCTAAACTTGTTTGTTTAAATGTAAACTGCACTGAACACAGAGGTTGAAATCTTATTGCATAACTTACCCTAGATAAAGTTGATGACCTCATCAGATGTGGGTTTTTTAAAAAAACAAAAACAAATAAAACATTGCTAGTTCTCCTCTAAAGGTCCCAAAACTCCAGTGAAATCCCTATCATCATTGAGAAGCCATTAGGAACTGCAGAAAGGGAAGAAGTTGTTTTTAGCACAGAAAAGCATAGCCACTAGTAAGGTCATTGTGCCAACAGCATCCTGATGATGAAATAGGATATCAGCCAGTATGAACAACATTTTTTGGACCACAGGATATTTTGATTTTGTATATAGGAGGATAAAGACAAGCTCTTTCCTGTATGGTACCATATATGTCTCCTAGGATCCCATATAGCAATAATATAAATTAGAAATTGGAACACTGATTAAGCATCACAGTCTTCATACTGAGATGGGTGAAACATATTAGTGTGTCATGGCAGGTGTGTGAGGAGGCTGTAGTGTTTGCAAGACTTTCTTGCACGGACCAGCCTCAGTGCTTTATGCTGGAGTACTACTATTCCTTTTATTTTTAGGGTTTGCACAATTACATTATAAATAAACGTCCCCATGACATCACATGGTATATCTCTAGATTTCAGGTTTTGACCCTATGATCTCAGGAAAGTGGATTTTGCCAAATTAAGTTTTGCTAAGTTAACATGGACCTTTATGACTCTGATGTAGTCTCTCTCCATTTATATGCTTTGATTATAAGAATGAACATTTGATTTTATTTTAAAATTAAAAAATAAGACAATATCCCTTTACATTGTAGAATGGCAGTTCAGTACCCTGCAATGCTGTTCTTTCCAGTTGCTGGACCTTTCAACATTCCCTATATACAGTTGTTCGTGTTTCTGAAATGTTAGATTCCAAGAATAAAATCGGAGAAACCACACGGGAATGCGCTGTTTTCTTTTATAGTCCACCAGGGCTATCACTGAAGCATTAAGAATACAAAGGTAAAATGTTGCACAGTTGTATTCTCTTCTATATAATTCATATATGGTGGTTGCTCTCCTATTTTTTTTTCATTTCCTTTATAAACTATTATTTATATTTTCATTCCAGTTAGTTTGAATATGCCTTTTAGGGCTAAGGTTTCTTAAAATGCTGCACAAAACAGTGAGAGATAAAGGTACAAGTTGAGCCGTGTGGTTCAAGACTGCTCTGCTGGTTATTGTTATGACAGCAGAAGGATGTGAGAAACAGAGGCAACTAAAAGAAACATGGTCCAAGAAAAGGTGACTACTAGAGATGGGGGTATTTGTAATCATATATAAATACGAATACTCCCTGCACAGGTGGACATAATGAGGGTCCAGCCCCCTATGGCTGGAGTGTCCACTCACCTTCTACTGTTGCCGTGGGCTCCACACTCCCTATCGCTCCGGAGCTCGCAATTTGGAAGCCACTCGTGGCAGGAGGCAGGAGGATGAGCCTTGAGTGTACGAATATGAACACCCCATCTCTAGTGGCTGCTTATTCCTGCTCTCAGTGCTGTCTGAACCTTATGTGTGAGGGTTTGACTTTTGGCTCCAGGTTCGGTAAAAAAAAAACATTAGATTTTTGTTGCTTCAAAACAGGTGAAAGATTTATTGGTGCATTTTACAATAAACAAGTGTCTGGAAAAATGATTACCTGCTCTCGTCGTCCAGGCAATCATCCCACATCCCACAGGATCTGTCTCTCGGGGTCTTGGCTCTTCCAGGATCCTCCCTGTAACTCCTTCTCTTCATCTCCCTTACTTTCCATTCCAATCTTTCTCTCCTTTCTCTCTCAACTCTTTCTTTCTCCTCTCTCAATCACCTTTTCCATTCTCTTGCCTTGGCTTCTCTCCAATAAGAGGGTCTAGGTGGAATTTCTGCTCTCCTTCTTTAATCTGCCTCCTCTTTGAGCACTCTTAGCCTCTCCCATAATCCTGTCCATCCACACCGATTCCCAACCAAGTGGCAGCTGCCCTTCCCTCCTTTTTACCTCCCCTGTTCCTGCCTCAAACTCCACCCTCTTTTTCCTCTCCTTTCCCTCACCCATAGCCACTTTCTGCACCTCTTCTGTCAGTTCCTCTTTTTCTGGCTCTTGCTGTGGTCTCTCTGTAGGCTCTGGTGCGGGCTTGGGTCTTGCTTCCTTATCCTTGCTGTTGAGGAGGGACGACTCCCGGGAGAGTGAGGTATCCCTCTCACCTTCTGTCTCACATTATGCTAGTTCTGTTGCTCCCGGGAGAGTGAGGTATCCCTCTCGCCTTCTGTCTCACATTATGCTAGTTCTGTTTCTGCTATTATATCCAAATTTTCATTGACTGATAGAAGAATTGCATTTCTTAGCTAGCTTTCAAGACCACACTCTTCCCACAGCAGTTAACAATACAAAAATATACAGTACAAAATCTTTCAGTTAAAAACTGGGCGGGAGGGGGAACCCAAGTCTTTAAAAACAACAGATGGACCCCTATGTATATGGGGAAAAAAGCCACCACAAGCACAAGTGCCCAGCAACCTTATAGATCTTAATGGTTGCTTAATAAGCAAGGCTTCTCATTGTGATGACGTTAATCAGGAGCAAGCAACCATTGCTCTATAGAGGTACAGGATTGTAGTGGCTATCATATGTGTGGTGACAGGCTGGTGAAAGCCAGCAATGGACACTGTCTGAGGGAAGAGTAAGCAGTACTACTTTTTCTATCCTCCTTTGTTCTATCCCATTTCTCCCTCTCTTGTTCTCCCTTTCTGCCTCAGAGGTCATTCTGCTGATTGCATTTTTTTGTTAAATGCTTTTAGATTTCTGTTATGGCAGCCAAGGGTTGGTTCCAACTCTTGTGGGACTGATTTTTTTTGAGGGCCAGATTTATGTTCGGGAAATTAAATTTACATTTGCAAATGGATTGGCTAGCAAAGTCAGAGAGCCAAAATAACCCCAGCACTCACTGGGATGAATAGAAGTCTTTTGTATCTAATTTTTTGTGTTTTTTTTGGAATGGGTCACCATAATATGTTTGAGAGTGTTAACATACGGAGCAGTCAAATGAAATTCTGGCAGTGTGTTTTCGGGAGCACAGAAGAAAAGGATACCCAGAACTGTTTCTTACTGGGCTACACATTCACACAATGCCTTGGTTCCTACTGTCGTTGCCTAGAGTATCACATGAACATAAGTCAAAGCAGAGTTGTACAGTTATCCCACCCCAAGGGGCACTGACAGATTGACTTTGCCCATACTTCTGTGACCAAAGCAGTTTGCAGGTGATGCGTGATCTTATGTCATAATGCTCCAATTGCTGTGTTGCAGTTGAGGGTCAGAAGCCTTGGTGTTGGACAGTGGGAAGCCAGCTGTATCAGACGACTGATTTTGACTGCCATGAAAAGGAAAGGAAATAGTTTTAAAATTATTATTCTTTTTTTTAAAACTGTCAGGAAGAGGTAGGGAGATATGTAGGATTTTGGCAGGGGAGTGGGGAGTGAACTGCCAAAATTATTTCTCTGGCTTTAGATACTATGTACCTTGAACATGGGGGAGGTAGAAATATTTCCTGCTCCATTGCAAATGGAAATTCTCCTGAGCCAACCCTGGCAGAGTCAAGAGTATTTTGACTTGCCGAAGAGTATAAGCTGGATTGTAAAAATGAGGAGGAAGTAAAAGCAGATGGTTGTGGGAAACCTTTGACCACTTTTGGATTGGGGCTGCAAGAGATCAGGGAAGTGCAGATGCCAGGGCTGGCTAAAACAGGTAGTTGCTTCTAAGTGGCTGTCCTATATGTGAGCTGTCGGGTCTGCCTCCTCATGTTCCAGAGGATATTTGAGTGAGGAACCTAATGAATTTTTGGTAGTTTGCCAATCCCCATAGAAAGGTTGTCCTGTCACCTTTCTGAGAGCCCTGCCATTGTTGGGCTTTTAGTCTGTGTACTGTGTGCAAAGGAAAGGTTCCTGGTGGGAGTAAAGAAACTGGTAAAGTGATGGCAAATGGAACAAGACTACATGGATTAATAAAAAGTGGGAATGGACTACATGAGAAAAAGGAAACAAGACAGCAACTGGGAACATCAAGGAAAGCAATTAAGGTGAATAAAGACTGATCCATAGGAATACAGAAAGAGAGAGATGAGAGAAATCAATCCTAGTCAAAATGAAGTAAAAGCAAAGATTAAGAAGACTGAAAAAGAGGATGGGAGGGAAAAGCAACAAGAGACTAAAGAACAAGTTGAAATAAAGGACAGACTAGAAGAAATGGGAATCACAGCTGTAATTGGTCAAATACTAAAAAGGTGGCTGTATCAAGGAGGGAAGCAAACATTGCCTTGTTTCCTGGCCTTTGTAACTAGAACTGCTATGCTGCTATGGCTGGTCAGTTTGGAGGGCCTTGTTGCATCACAAAAAGGACTTGATTCTCATGGGTTCTTAATTCTGAAGTTTCCAGAGCTCACCTGCCTTAACTGCCATCATTGCAAGAGGCAAGCAAAACACCAAACAGGTTTGGATGGAAAGCTCCCTCCCTCTACTTATCTTGAGTTTCCTTTTTTTTTTAATCTCCCAGATCATAGGAGGAAAACATAGAAAAGTCTGGAGATTAAGGTCACGAAATTTTTCCCCCTCCAGGAAGGATTTCAAATGGAAGGGCAGCTATAGAAAGGTGCTGTCCTATTTAGACTTTGTATCTCAAATGGAAAGCTTTTTAGCCCATATATTAACAAAATTCCAGTTTTCAGACATTGAAAGCAGAAAATAAAAATTGAGTTTCCACTTTTGATGAAACTCACCTTCTCTAGTTAGTGTCCAGAAACCTGAGTTTCAGTGATGCTTGCTTTTCTGACAGAACAAAAGTCAGATCAGCACATTTGTTTATCTTTGTTGGGTTTATACCTTTGTCTTCCATTTTTAATTCTGGAGAAACTGCCTGTAGTATAAATGTGCTGATTTTAATAGCTATCTGGGCACTGGGGTTCATTTTGCTAAGATAATTTCATGGATTATAAAATGAGACAGGCACAGTAGAAGTGAGAAGGCAAGGAAGGAGGTCGAGAGAGGAAACTGGTGGAGGAAGAAGTGTATGAAGAGCAAAGAGGAAAACCTGACTACCAAAAAAGGAATCAAGAAATGTGACAGATATGTCTCTGACAGAAGCCAAGCCATGTGGGCTGATGTAATTATGTTATGTTGCTTAGACAGAATGCTCTCTTCAGACAATTTGGCAAAGAGTCAAGTGAGGAGATGAAATGTAATACCTTCAGGAACACAACAGTCTCTTCGGGTTTTTGAATCCTGATCAGTTTTTTAAGCATTTAGTGGTCACATACTATGCACTGGTATCACACTATACGGATGTAAGGAAATCTTCAGCTTTGAACCATTAGTTGGCTCAGATAGTGGGATTGCAACCAGGAAACATGTTGCACCAATCAAGGAAGTCTCCTTTCACCACTTGGCCAGATATAACCTAGTAATACTTCCAAATCTGCTACGAAGCGTCAGGTCAGGTTTGCTTGCTGGTTGATTTAATGAAGATAATGGCTGTTGTTGGAGATAGGCCCCTTTCAATGGTTCCATTCTGAACTGCACAAAAAGTAGATCATAAGTGGGATGACTTCAAGTTATGCTGCATGAAATTTCTCTTATATCAGGTAAATGTGACATGTTATACACATATAGATGTGTCAAGGAAAAAGACTCTTTATTTGGGAAAGTTCTTTAGGTGAGTATTCCACAATGCTACCTCTCATTTCTGTGGTTTCCGAGAGGTGCATGATGCTGCTTCACCACATCTGTGGGAAATTGGCAATGGCAAGGAGAATGCACATCGAAAAACAGTGCAGGTCAGAATTATCAAGAGTGCTGCAGCAGATTATTCACTGAAACATGTTCCAAAACTTGCAGCATCCATTTGTAACCCTATCCTCTTCCCTCTCTGATGAATATTGAATAATATCTTTTGTAATGAATTTAATATTACAGATCATCAGACTCTTGCCCATTAATGAGAACTCTTAAAGGATGATCAGAGTCTTGGAGAAAATGGCTGGCCAGGAAAAACAAACCATAGGATCTGACAGAAAAGGTAAACTACAAATATAGTCATTCTGACTTTTCTGATGGACCACAGGAGTGCTCTTACTTATTTTGTCACTTAAGGAAGAGTGGGGACGTAAGTACGTATATGAATTTAGAGCAAATATGTTGACTAAATGTAGTAGGCTAAAAAACTAGACAGATTACTCTGGATAGTCATGGTAAGGGCAAAGAAAAAAGTTATATTTAATATTTCAAGAACTCTATTCAAATAAAACAACAGGGAACCTAGATTTGAGTACAGAAGTCCCGAGAACTGGTTCCCTTGTATGTACGTGTGCTGGAGACCCACAGAAAGGTATCCTCACTGCTGGCCTTCCAACATGGATAAAGAAGAAAAAAGAATGAATATTTCTTTCAAGAAATGAGGGAGTAACCTAAAGAGTGATCAATGCGGAGGCATTTGCAAATGAAAAAAGGACAGAATACAGAAGCCTACTTGACAATCAGTCACAACTACAAAATGACAAAGGACAAAGCACCAAAGCCCACTTGGCAATCAGTCTATTCTTCCCCACAAGTTCCTTTACATATAATATTGATTTGTTTTTTTTTTAATTGCAAGCAGGTCTTGCCAAGTCTGAATCACCACCAGGCATCATGGACAAGGAAGCTAAGGTAAGAGATCTCTTCCCATCAGATGCTGTCTGTAACCTTCTTTCAACAGGCAAGAATCAAAAGCCATACACTTTCCATTAATTTGATGCCACTGGCTCCACTGGTGCAGAGAGTCCTTTGGGGCGAATATCTAGGTGAGTCCTCCTCCATCCATTAACAACAGTCCTCTGAAGTTTCTAGACTATTCCGTAGTTTTGCTTAATGTTGCTTCCTTCACCACTATATCGGACTAAGGTAAATGATAGCATGTGGAATGCAATGCTGATCTCAGAACTGGTTGCGGTCATCAAAATACTTCAGTGTGCTCTTGAAGGTAAGTACAGTGATTATCAAAATTCTACAGCAGGAGAACTGAAAGAGGGACAACTATTCAGGCATTGACTAGATGAATAAGCCTATAAAATCACACTTGCAGATTCTCACAGCTTACTGCCACTGGGCTCAGTCTTTTCACTTGGAATTACTTCCTAAACGCCTGTGACATCATGCTCATATGCTGGCCGTCACTAGAAATAGGGAGGCCAAGACAAGCTGCACAGTGGAATTTATGCAAGCTACACTGCATGGAGCAGAAATGTACATACAGAGGTAAAACCATCATTCAGGTAATTATACTTTTCCT